TAATCCCAAGTACTTGGATTGCATGAGAATGACGAAAATTGAAAGCCGCTTACCTTCACCATGGCTAAATATATTGTGGAATTATCTCCGGAATTCCTCTAAAGATAGTTCACAGCTACTTAAATGTTATCAATACACTTCCACAGAATTGTGTATGGTAGTTTGAGTAGTGTTCGGAAAACAGCGGTTATGCCACAGATCCCGTAGTCTCTCTTGCTATGAACCTCTCCTGGGACATTTCAAAGGCTTTATAAACTGCGAAAATTCATTCTATAATCATACCTGCATTCCCCAGTGAGTGACAGTGCCCCCACTAAGGTTAGGACCCAGTAACAACAGTTTCAAACGCCAAAGCGTTATCCACTACAGCAATCAGGCCGCGAAAGCCACCTTTTGTGCAACGAGTAGCAGTTATTATTTAGTTGTGTTTGGATTTTCCCGTTGATATATGTACATACACGCTGTATTCTACGCTGCAGTTGTCTCAGTTACACCTGGCTTTTGTGTTTACTCAGTGTGGGGAATTTTTCCAAGTGATCAGTTAGCTACAGTATCGTGACTGGAGGCTCATTCTGGTCAAGTTAGACAAACAATCAACAAAAACAGTAACAGTCCATTGAAACATTTTTTACTTCTCTTTATTTGCACTTTTGTGCTTTATGATTCGTATAAAACTGAACTGCTGCACTTTTGTGCGGATTCCTATGCTGGAAACTCAGTCACTTTTTTAAAATTTTAAGTGATTATGTTAATAATCTACTGTTCTTTTGGAGAAACTAATTTTAGCTAACTTGAGCAAGTAAACCAAAGTTTGCAATTGCAGAAGCTTGCACCAAAATAAAGGCTGACGGTAATTGGTTGAGTGTAAGAAAAAATAGGTTACAAACTTTTTTAAATAATTCTAAGTTTCTTAAATCAAAGCAACTCACTTGAAACAAGCCTTCGGATCCAGTTGTCCGTCGACAAAGAAATAAAGCTTGTAGTGCCACAAATCGAGAAAACAACCAATAATGCTTCCCCTTTTGAAAGCACAAGTTCCTAAGGGAGATGCCTGATCAGCGTGCATTAGTACACCGCGATAGCTTAATCCCCATGTATATGAATCAATACCAAGTGCAGAACAAAACTGGCGTGAGTACTGATCTAATTTTGCGCACTTTCGACCAATACCAATCATCTGAAAGGAAATAAGTGGGAAACAGAAAACTTCAATAAATCTTAGAAATTTACTAATTAAGTAAACACAACCCGCTACAGTCAACAAAACAGAGTGTACTACTTAAAAAGTGAAAGAAATTCCTCAGCAATGAGTCATGCCTATAGCATGAGGTGCCCGAACTTTAATTGATTTAGCAAAGGTGTCATTTCAATTAAATTATGAAACACATACAACAACAACAGTACTACACTTATACTATCAGTAAACCAAACAGCAAACTAGAAATGTTGAAACACAAAGATGGAAAGCCACAAAACAATTAGAGTACACAAAAGCGAATATAGGTAACTGTGACTGCCAACACATACAATATTTTGAATGACTGCATGGTCGAACCCGATATCCCTGATTCAAACAGAAGGAAAACAAACAGAAATGTCCTACGATCGCAATATGAACAAACATCAGCTCTATTCCTGGAAGTTTCACATGTTCACTGCTGAAGGATGAGAACAACTATCAAGTGCTCCTCATTTTTCGATGGTTGTTTGACTGATTGGCTGGTTCCAAAGTGGAACTGCGCACAGCTGTGCAGTAATTCGAGTTGCCACACTCTATGTAGCTCACAAAGGAAGACAAAAGAGGGAAAGGTATTAGAAAGGACGATAATAGGCAGAAATGTGAGGGAGAAAGAATGATAATACGGGAAAACAATATAGTTTCATTTTTATTTATTTAAACGCATAAAAACTTGGTACAATATGGCACCAAGAAGGATGCGCCACACAATAATAATAAAACAACATACATCAGAAAAAAAAAGAAGGAAAAGAAAATATATTATATATAAGTAGAAAACGGATAAAGAACTTCATCTGGAAGGAAAACAGTCATGCTTAACAAGTTCAAACAGTATTCGTTAACTATCATCGGGAAAGGAAGAAAGAAGGAAATTGCAACACGTTCGCCATTGATTACGATTCTTGGCCATATCCGATAACGTTTCGAGCCATCGATTTGAGCTATCTCTCGGACCCCAACCAGGGAGTCGTGACACACCAACCGATGCTAATCTAGCACAAAAATCCTTCATCCCACGACGCCACGTCATGGACTGACCACCTCTCCGCCTTTTCCATCCCGTCCCAGGGCTAGCGAACAGAGACCTGTACGGAAGCCTCTGGGATGACATTCGTAGCACATGTCCAAGCCACCGGAGCCGGTGTTTCCAGATGACGACATTCAATGAATGGTGATCTCCACTGTGTTCAAACACACGCCGCCGAACCTCAGAATTACTCACGCGATGATGCCATCGAACGCAAGCAATCCTGCGGAGACAGCGATGATCGAACACGCAGAGTCGCCGCACATCCTCAGCTCGGAGAGGCCAGGTTTCACAGGCGTAGAGCAGGCGGCCCACAACGAAGCATTGTATACCCGACCTTTGACAGCCAGGCTAACGTCGCGACGGCGCCATAGGTGGCTCAAGTTGATGTATGCCACCCTAGCCTTCATTATACGGTTGGAAATCTCATCCGTCACCCCTCCGCCAGCACTCACACAACTACCCAGGTACACAAACTTATCAACAACTTCAAGCGGTTCACCCGCAAGAGTGAGTGCAGGTACAGGCTCCTGCCAATCTTGTAACAGTACTTTGCACTTAGACGGCGCAAAGCACATACCATACTTACAGACACTGATCGCCAACTGATTAAGTGCGATTTGGGCAGCCTGCATGCTATCGCACAGTAAGACGATATCGTCTGCATACTCGAGGTCGAAAAGTCTATCTCCAGGTAGCAGATCTACACCACCTTCACGCACATCCTTCAGAGCTGACTCCAGAATGTCATCGATGGCAAAGTTAAAGAGAAATGGAGAGATTGGGCAACCCTGTCTAACCCCACTGTTGGTTGGGAACAGTGGTGATAGTTGGTTGTATGCCCTCACTCTACCTGAGGTGTTTCTGTATAGGGCTTTCAAGATGTTAACAAATTTCTCAGGTACACCTCTCTCTAACAGACAGTTCCAGAGCACAGTTCTGTCCAACGAATCGAAGGCAGCCCTAATATCAAGAAACACAACGATCGTTGGCCTGCAATACGTGTGGCGGTGTTCCAACAACTGACGAAGGGTGAACACATGATCAATGCATCCACGACCTGAACGAAACCCAGCCTGCTCTTCGCGAATCAATCCTTCACGTATTTTGCACAGTCTGCGAAGCAAGACAGCAGCCAATATTTTAGACGCGACTGGTAACAGACTGATACCCCTATGATTGTCACACGAATTACGTCGACCCTTTTTAAAGATGGGGACGATAATGGCTTCGTTCCACATTGATGGTACACTCTCTGTCTCCCACACCTTCCTGAACAACCCAGTTAGAGCCATTGTGAGAGTCTCGCCACCATCTTTAAAAAGAGCCGGTGGGTCGGGTGCCTTATGGCGTTTCAGAACTTGGAGTTCCTTACGGACCTCCGCTTCGGTGGGTGGGTCGGTACTAACCGACCAAGGAGCACTCGGGCTAATGATAGTAGACACTGAAGCTGGTGGCCAGCTGAACTGCTTCCCGAAGTGCTCTGCCCAGCGTTCCAGGCGTCTTTTCAGGCTGGTAATTGCTGTGCCATCTGCCTCACAGACCGTCTCGCTGACACCTTGTTTCTTGCTGCCGGTGGCTCGTATGAGTTGGAACAGCTTCCGACTGTTGCCAGATGCAGCAGCTGACTCCATCTCACACGCACGTTCTGACCACCAGGCTTCGCGGTCCTTACGTAAACACTGTCTAATCTTGCGCGTGAGCGCCTTTCGCTGATTGTTGTATTCGCTGCCAGCCGGAATGGACCGGCGTTCATCCAGGAGTTGCAAGAAACTCAGTGGTTGTTAGCGGAGCATTCTTTCAAGCCGCAAGCGGCTACACTCGCCTTTTGCATGGCACCTTGCACATGAAGCCAATGTTCATCTATACTACTTGGGGGGTTGCTGGCAAGCATTGTTTTTAACTCATTCTGATATTTCAAAGAAGTAGCAGGTGCTACTAGTTTGCTCACATCAACGCTTAGACGACGGCTTTTACGAACCCCACCAAATCGCAAGACGAACTTGGCACACACTAACGCATGATCGGAGTCCAGGCATGTGCTCCAGAAGGAGCGACAGTCTTGTATGCATCCTCGCCACCGGAAACTGACCGCAATATGATCAATCTGAGTCCAAGCTTGCTTCGCAGAGGGAGGACGCCAGGTAGCGCTACGGCGATGGCTGTGCCGGAAGTTGGTGCTAGCTAGAAATAGGTTGTGATCCGCGCAAAGCTGCAGAAGACGGTCCCCATTATCTGACCTGCGACCATGTAGTCCCCACTGACCACCTAGACGATTCTCCTCTGAGCTTAGACGCCCCACCTGTGCATTCAAGTCCCCAGCCAGCACTACGATATCCCTCCGACCCCCTGTTTCAAGAGATCGCTCAGTTGGTAGTAGAACTCATCCTTCATTGCATCAGGGCTGCAATCCGTCGGTGCATAGGCAGAGACAACAAATAGACACCACCTATCTGGCCTACTACTCCTTACTTTCGTATAATACAATGTGAAGATGATCGTGACTCTGAGCCGACCACTCAGGAAATACAGTATTCGTGACGCCTGCTTACAAGTAGACTGAAAAATATTTACTCGGAAAATGTGGATAATAAAAACAAATAATGCTAAGAAGTCCTAAAAAATATTAAAATCATCAGCAAACGCAACTGCATTACGGCAGGCATCATCATCCAACGAATGGTACACGTTCAAGGTCATTTGAGTGTTTCGCTTCTGCGACGCTTTACTGTAGTGTAATGCAATGGAAACCGATACAATGCCACTAAACAAGTTTCTTTTTTCTCTTTTTCAGAAAGAAACGGTGATGTGGCATCATTGGAGCAAGAGGAGGACCAGTTATCAAAGCTTGTTATAAATGACGATAACTAACTTGTACCCGGGTAATTTGAGTCCGGCTTCCTTTAAATAAACGCTTCCTCCGTACCGTCTTTGCCTTCTTCTCCACCCGTCGTGTCTGTGGTCTGTGTGTCTTACAGTAGCTTGTAAAGTCCGGTTGCTTTCAAATACAATCCATGAAGTTACATGAAAGTGTCATCTTAAGGGAGTTGCGGGATGTATAGAAAAGCTGGCATTTCATCAATCAAAAGCAAGTCACGTAGCCACTTGAAATTTAAGGAGAAAAGTGATGAGCTAGCTGAGAATCAATTTAAAGTTTTAACGTGTCAGTTTCAGCAAGTTCGTCAGTCCCTTGAATTATTTGCTTGTAAACACAGGAACCAAATTAAGGATAACCCCCAACTGCGCTCACAATTCCAGGCCATATGTAGTAACATTGGTGTTGACCCTCTAGCTTACAGTCAAGGATGTTGGTCAGAAATCTTAGGATTGGGAGTATTCTATTATCATCTAGGTGTGAAAATTATAGAAGTAAGTTCACTTAAAACGCCTATTTTACTTTCTAATGGTAAGTCAATGACAGAAAATGAGCTAAGCTTTCGACATGGAAATTCGGACGTAAGGACATCAGTCCACGTCGTCAAACTTCATAAAACACAGATATCCTAGATAAGAGAGATGCAATGACAGTACAGTAGGCGAAACTGTTTGAGCCCAGAAATAGTTAAATGGGGAGTAATGGCGATTTCGATCAGCACATGAAGTAAGTACTCGGTAACATCGATTAGTTTTTATTCTCCTACCTAGTACTCAATGTGTAGCTTCGTGATTACAAACCATATTGTACCACCTAGCAGAGGTAATTAAATGTCTACAATTATGGTGGAAAAACGGCCAGTACTTCCAAATCTTCCAAATTAAACTAATACACCAGGTAGCCGTAAAGAAAGACTAGGCAAACTGCTGCACAATAAACATGTGTTTTAGTGGATATCCGGTATGATGCGTGCGTGTAGAACTTAATGCAATTTGGGAAATACTGCGCGAGTCTTTTGTATCCGAGTTGGGGTTTCATCAGCAATTAGTTCTTTTGTGCTGATGCAACTTAGTTAATAAGTAAAGTGTTTATCATCTTCATTACATCATTGCGTATCCTTAAACTAGGGGTCGGTGCACACCACTACTTCAACATCATATTAAGTATGGTGGGTGATTTTGTTCACCGAATATGCTGAGATGTTCAGATTCATTTTGTCAGGGTTTTCACCTAGAGGGACTATATATACTCTACATAAATTCGGCCATGCACCCATAAACAATTTATCCCTGAGATTTCCAAGTCAGTCGGCGCCACCTTTATCAGCACATATATACTAAAATAAAACAAAAGTGATGGCATTCGGCATGCCCGAATGACACTACTAGTCATCTTCACTTCATTTGACAACTTTCGATAAGCTCTTATGCGGCCACATGAGTCTGGTTAGAATGTCTTGATCAGTACGATATGCTTATTCAGCACTTTTACAGTAATACGTTACCGTAATTGAGTCATATGATGGTTTCACTTTAAGAATTATGTCAAGTTTTGGGCCTTGATAAGTTGATCAATATTACAGATACTGTCAAAGCGTGATGGTACGATCAGTACACCGTTCTGACCTAAGACTCACATAACTGTCTTGCGTTTGTTTTCCTCGAGCCAGTTTAATTACTTTTCAAAATGTTATGCTCAAAGTTCCAGCCGTCTAATCTAAACAGTTACATCCTTCTCGAAGATCGTGCAACTTATAGGTTTATTACAATTCCATTCCATGATAAGAATAAGTAGTTCACTTCCTTTACTTTTGTCGCCCACCACTGTTCGTGTACGTTGCGAAAACCTTCAGACATCTTACGTTCGATCAGCTTTCACTCTTCGTTGTGTCCAGAGTCCTATAGCATCGGTTTCCTTGCATCTATCGGTCTGGATGAAGCTGCAGAAGTCTGTAGATATTTACCAAGTCTTTACTACCGTTTTTACTAAAGACTGGATATGATGACTATCTTTATCAGGATAAGTTGTTTTCATTTTGAGACACGTCTAGTTATCGCCTTGATCACAGACTGCAGGGGTTTGGTGGCTATTTTTGTCTACACGTCCGTTTAGCCTCAGAAGAACATTTACGAGCAGCTGCATAATCCAAATCAATGCAGGTATTCCCGAGAGAAGGCTAGCCTCTCACCATCCTTTTCTATCGACAACCTGTGCTTGGATGATCTATTGTTGAATCGATACTTGCGGTATCCAGATGGTGCAATTATTTTCCTTATGTTTAAAATTGGTGACAGCTTTCTGAGTGGGATTGTGAAAGGAGGCTGGTGTCGTCACTTCGTTGTCACATGACACACCATGGATACCTTTAATATGGCTTTCAGGCTAATTCAGCGTTCTACTTGAGTATTGATATCAACCGCCGAGATGTTTTGCCTTCAGCAGCAAACTAGACGTGTAATAAAACATCCCTTACTTCATCTAAACTACAGTCAGTTGGTGCTTAAGCGCAGATACTGGAAATTTATGTTGATTATTATTCCCTTCCCTTAAGTATATGCTCCCTGACTACATACAGCCGTTATTTCTTCCGACCGTACTCAGTATCTCATTGTTATACTTATTTGACTGAATATTTTACTCTTTCAAACTTTGATCATTTGCTTATCACACGCAGCTTACTATGTGTTGATCACCCGAATTATTCTCGTCAACTTCGTTATCCACAGCTAACAACAGTTTATAAAATAAAATTAGTATTTTTTATCCCACAGTAGTTTGTTCTTCCTTTTCGAAGTTATTGAAAGATCAGTAACCTTATATTCTGCTTAGTTGATTCTTTACATAATAGCCCATATTTTATACCTTCAGCCGGTTGGTCGAATACTATCCCGATAGCTGCAAGATTGAGGGGCAGTTTCTTTAATTCATACACAGTTGGCATATCTCACTATCGAATAGGCGACCATATACACCGTGTATGTAATATTGTGCAGATACACATCTGATAAACAGAATTTTATCTCAAAGTCTCATTTTGCTTTTGGTTTAATTAACAGGCTTGCATGGCACATGAAAAGTACTTTGGAGGCATCATCCCAATAGATGAGTTGGTGTCTTTATTAAACAAAAACAAGACGCAATACGAATCAGAAATCAGCGTAGATGATGTAAAAAGATCGATAAAAAAGCTGCGTTGTTTGGGGACAGGATTCAGCCTAATCAATTTGCCTGGTGGTCGATCATTAGTTCGGTCAGTTCCAGGTGAGATGAGTATGGATCAAACTTTGGTGCTAAGTCTTGCAGAAAGTTCTGGTAGTCACGCCACGACATCGGCTGCAATGAATAAGTGAGTGGAGTTTGCCAGAATCGCTTACTTACATTAACCATATATATATAATACCTTGTGTTTTCACTTATTAGGAATGGCTCACTCAGTGTATTACAATAGGTCACTTTTTTCCGTATTCAGAAGAAAGCTGACTTTTTAACTTCCACGATTCTAGTGTTTAGTTAATTATTCTCTCCTTTAACAGTCTGATATCTTTAACATATTGTGAACTCACTTGTCACTGTCGTATTATTGGATCATATATTGTTTAGAAAATGACACATGTTAGCATGAGGCCGCTAAGCTATATCTGACTGAGAAGTATACTTTTTATCACTTTTTTGCTTTCAAAATAGCAATTTTCACCACACTTTTTTGCCTAAATTTATATAATTTTAATATCCTAATCCCATTTGATTGAATGACCGCATTAATCTATATACGTGGAAGTTTCATGATCACCTTGATGTGATTGTGAGCAATAAATCACACGTGAAACCTTATCCATTAAATGTTATTGTGTGATATATAAAATACACATAAGACAGAATGGTAGTCCGTTAGTTAGTATTATCAATTGAATGTACATAAAATGTACAATCATTTAAAACACAAGATACAATGTGAATGGACAAGTGTATTTAAATATAGTCAAGAGAATGTGTTTCATTGCGGGATGGAGATTGAGTTATATTCAATGGTGTAAGAGAAATATGATTACCACAAATTGCATACATATAAATTCCAGCAAATGGGGAGCAGTGAATGTAAGTTCAAGTGCTGACAGATATCAAGTGTAGTGATAAAAGTGAGGTCAGATTGTGAAACGTAATAAAATACTAGAAACATGATAGGCTTAGTGCAAATTAAGAAAGTTAACACAATAAGGATAATAATGGAGCGAAGTAAACTAGATGAAAAGGAATAAGAAAGGCATGTTATGACATGAAAATATAGATGATCATGTCCCTGCTGACTTTATAGTAAGCCAGATTTTAAAAAAAGGATGAATGTGCTTTATTTGCACGCACAGGTGAAGTGTCCTCTTACTAATCTCTATAGCTTCAGCTATCGCTAGGAGACGTAATCATTTGCCTTTAGGCAGATTGTGTGGTACTCGACATACAACTGTAGATGACTCATCTGTTTTAATGTAGTGTTCACTATCCACTAGTTGAGATAGAATGCCACTATTTATTGTTATTTGGTTATACTTTTTCCAAGCCAAACAGGAACATGTTCACAAGTGCGTAAAGATAAATTCCTCTGGGTTTGACCTATATAACTAGCTCCACATGAGCAGCTGAATTTGTATGCACACATTGGTGCGGTCACCTTTGGTAATTTATCTTTAGTGTACTGGGTCAGTATCAGCCTGGTTGAGAAACTGATGTACAGTCCTGCAGCATTGAAAGTTCTTCCGATTGATCTGACCAACCTTTTAACTGTATCCTTAAATAAGGCTTTTACTTATTCACTGTGTCACGTTTGCTTTTATCAGTTCTTTTAGAAATATTCTCTTTTTTTTTACAAAATTGCCAGGATAACCATTTGTAGCGGGGTACTTTTAAGAGTCGGTTTCATCTTCAATACAATCCTGGGTACATACGCGTCTAATTCTATAACTAAGATAACGAATCTAATTCCGCTTATACTGGATGGGTGTGCAACTGTCTATGTCGTAGTGGTTCCATAAAATGTGCAGCTGCGTTTTTCACTTAATGAACCATAAAATATATTATACTCTGTTAGTGTATTTGGTACTACCCATAGTAGTTGCGTAGTATGTTTCATGTTGCCAAACAATTTGTCAATAATGCTGACGAATAATTATTATTTGTGGTGAACAAAACAGAACCTGTGAGGTCATAATGTTCATTGGGTCAAAATATAATGAACAATAACAAAGTGACAGTAGTTTGGCTTCATCTAGTGACTGAAGTACGTATACAAATCGGCTACGGGGCGGTAAGAAATGTATTCACTAACATAAGTTTTTACACTATTCTCTTTAGAACAATAGTTAACTCACTTTACATCTCTTTATATAGTTTTGTTTTATGAACTGTCGTCCTGCGATTATTATATATATATATATATATATATATATCTACTCACCTAGACTTTTGATGATTTAGCTAGTTAGTATCTTGTCAAGCTAACTAAAAAGTGAAGTCAGGCGTAAGCATTCTTTGTAATTTAGTTAGATATGTTTAAGAAAGCCACACTGATTTTTCGTTGCATTGTATTGTTTATTTGTAACTGAACTAAACTTTCTACGTAGAATTTTGTACAGAAATGCAATAGTTCAAGCTGCCACATTTCCTAAAGGCCCATACAGAGGTAATCGAAAGCAGTGCAACCTAACTACAACATAAAAAACACTACAGTAGAAAAAATAATGATATTGGAAGTAGGAAGTGCTTTCATAACCTGCAGCATCACAAGCAGTGAATATATTTGCAGTTGCACCACTCAGAGTCTCTTGAAACTTATACCTATATTTCTTAGCTAACTATTACACAGTACAACCATATTGAATCACCAACTTAACCTCGGTGTTGAAAATTCGGGTCTTCCTTGTGCTGAGTGTGGAGGATTTCCACATCAATTCCAGAGTAATAAGGGTCTGTCTCGCTTCCCCGATCCTGGCAGGCTTCTATATTCTCATTAGTACCACCTATCTGTAGGTGAGACGATTCTGCCTAGCCAGGTGAATGAAAGAGGTGACCTCCTGTATAAGTTTTCCAAGTTTGTGACTGGTACTTGTTGGGGTCAGATTGGTATTTTCATTACCTCCGTCTGCCTTCTATATGCTCGCCTAAGGTCTTGTCTTCGCTTTCTCTTCTATGAAATTAATGTTGTCGCCTATAAGTCCTCGAGGTTGTACGACATGGGACATAAGTCATTTGTGAAGTCCAGATCTTCTGGATATATATATATATATATATATATAGAGAGAGAGAGAGAGAGAGAGAGAGGGAGAGTCGAACCATAGATGAGGATCTAATCGAAAAGCAAATATTTCTTCTCTCAATCCTTTTACCTTCACTGGAGTTAGCGAAGAAATTGTTTCAATAAGTGTTGCTGGTAATCATAATATTACTGATTGCAGTGGTCTCGATCATGCAACACACCACGGAAGAGTGGGAAAACGGAGAGAGGACTTCAGAAGGTTGAGACTTTACAGATGATTTATGTCTCATGCCTGAAACTCCAACGATTTACCGGTGAAAACCAACAAGTTGGCAGGAAACAGGTCTTCAAGTGAACGTCAAGATGGACAGATGGAAGTGAGCCTCCGGTGAATATACCTAAGTTTGCCCTGATCGGAAAAGCCGGACAGTCCTTCATTACTCTGAAATCAGTGTGGAAAACCGCCGAACTCACCAACAAGGAAGAAGTTCCCAGTTCACAACACGAATGTCAAATCGCTGATTCGGTATGATTGAGAGATTTGGTGAGTCACAAAAATCACTTCCAACAACTCTTCCAGTAGGTGGTCATAAACGCCTGTAATATGCAGGCTGGACACTGAAGACCAGATGGATGGTGGGTTGGAGTGAATAAGCCACAAGGAAACTGTGGTGACGAACCAACTGTGACCTTTCGTGAAACAAATATGAAGGAGTGAGTGTGTGGTGATGGGTTGAAGGCAAACTGAGGAGACCGTTGAGTGACATGACACTCCAGAACTTCTGGTGGAACCTGAATGGGGAAATGACGAGTTGTGTATCGGAGTGTGACGTGGAGATGATCTGATATGTTGGGGAAGTGGAAGCTTATGGGCAATAGTTGAGATAGGTTTCAATAAAATACTTCAGAGAACAGGGTGAATTGATGATATTTTTCTGAACCGTATGTTCTACATGGGACCGTAGAGATAAGGATACAATTTTTGTTATTCAGCTTCTTCAACGTGAAATTCCTTGTTATTTGCTGTGAAGCAACAAAAATATTTCCGTAGACTTATTGTACATTTATCTGTCTACTATTGAAATAACGCTAATGAATGCAAATAGAATTATCTTTTAAAATACATTATCGTGAGTTGCAATGAAATATCAATTACTGCGTTGAATCCAGTTCGGAAAAGCTGTATTTTCTCTCAACATCCCAGATGAACTTTTCTGATTTCTACTGCTTCATTTCGTGTCTTGTACTTTTTCCAATATCTCTAGTTTTTCCCGCCAGAACCTTTACCATTCACGTAACAGTTATTATCACTTCTCCGGTGACGTCACACTTCATTACATATATGCCTTTAATAATGAGTAATATGGTTGCAAAAATGCTTACAAATATAAGGAAAGACTATTGATTCGTTCTATTTCTGAACTCACTTCATTGTATTTCGCAATTTTTACACATGACCTTTTCATTAGTTATTTAATACTCAGTAGGTCCTATTAGATGAATTGTAGACACTGTAAACTATGTTTGCAGTGGTGAGTAAATTTGATTTTTGAGCTAATTTTATTTTACTATATATTTTGGAATATCTTATTACACTCCGTTAAGTAGTGATTTGCAAGCTGCCATCCTTTGGAACAGTGCTTTTAATAAGGCTAATTATCAGCCCACCAGCTCATAGAATTATTCTACCACAACAAGTATGTCCTGAAAAATCTTACTGGCAGTACACAGACCAACTGGAATAAAACCACGGGTTTCGTATCACCTGTTCAGTCTATCAGCCAGAAAAGTTAATATGATCCTGTCGCTATATGAATTCTAAGTGCCTTTGGATATAATACTTGAAATACTAATTAAATACTCTTGTTACGATGTTTCAGAAAGAATGACTTTTTCTATGTTAAAACTTCTCCTTGGTTTATTATTTTAGATACGAATGGACAAAAGATCGTGCAGATGTCGCTTTCCATCATTTAGTCCAAGAAGGGATTGCATGGGTGGATGATTTAGATCCTTGCAGTGAAAGAGTATTTTGGTTCCCAAGTTTGATGGATACAACTATGACATGTTAATTAGTTTAACATTAAATCTAATTATAATCTTCATTTCCCTGTACAATGAAGCACTATTTTTCAAAATTACTCTTCTTTTACTGATCTAACATACAAAATTTGAATTCATCTTTCAGCCCATTCGTCAAATTTTATTAGTTGTGTGAATCTGTTGACGAAGGTGACTTTAATTATTTTAAGTTCGAAATAAAAAAATCGCATAGCGATGAGCTTAACAAATCACTCATGCATAGTTATACTTGATCTTAATAAATTTGAAGTGCACATGTGAGGTTATCGAACCACAAGAATCCATCAGGTAGAATATACGACTAGAAGCCCTTTCTGTCAGTACTAACTAGTCACAAATTGAAACGATTTTCGATTAATCTAACCAATCACATTGATACAAATACTTTCTCAAAGTTCTTGGAATTAGCTGCAATAGCAGATGGTAAAGGGTTATTATTTTAGGACGAAAGTCCATAAAAATTCATAACCACATATGACATATAAGCTGCAGGCCTACACAGCTGTAATGAAATAATAATTAAGCTGTATCCTACATACGTTATATGCTAAATATGCGCAGTATTTTACATGTCAGCATTGATCTTTTACTCAAGTTGATCAAAATACAACTTTATTAGTCTAGAAAGTTCGACTAAAATTTTCTGTGTTTCATCCCAACACCTTCGGACCAGCTAGATAATAAATTACAAAGAGGAGTTGTGATAAGTGTAAATGAAACTAGGTTTAAAAACTTAAGAATTTACCCTGGTTTATTTGAGAGCGGGTAGACTTTTATCTTCCCCTCAAAATGCCATAGTGTAGCCACATATTCATAACCCCTGCCAGATAACTTCTATTAACTGCTTTCGTTAGACTGTGGGATTTCTTGTGGAAGTGAAAACCTGAGGAATACGCCTAGAGTTCTCATACTCCAGGATCGAGTAGTGTGTAAACCTGTTTTTAACACCAGCAGCCATGGAAACACAGTCTCTAAGCTTCCCCTGTTCAGGCATTTAATCCTTTATGCTATTTTCAAATGTGAACTGCATTTTGCATTTAAATCATCTTGACGTAGTGCAAGCGTTAATTAATTGTTTTCAAGAAGCTATTCCCAAGTGTGATATCTAACGCGGAAATTCTGGTATCACATATTCCATTCATGTTTGCCAATGTTTGCACGTTGATGGTAGTCTGATACCAAGCCTAGGAGGAGTCAGATAGTTGCAGGACAGATCACAATCTGTTAATATCCAGTACCGACTTTCGGCACAGCTGTTGTCGCATTACTACCTGCCATTATCGCTCTGCAACTGAAACCTTGTCTCAAATAGACCATATGGCTATCAGGTAGCGGTGGGGCTGGTGCATACATAACTGCTGCTCCTTCTGGAGGACATGTCTGGATTCTAATCCTGCTTAAGTGCGTGCTATTTTTCCCTTGCTGTTGGCTGATGACAATAAACTGGCATCCGAATAGCTTGACTTCTTTGTAGGCGAAAGTCAAAGCATGCTAGAATAAAGGCTAGATATTGACTTTCCGGATAGTATAAACAAACATTGGCTCCATTTGCTAAGTACTGTAAAGGTGACTTGTGAGACTGCTAGCAATTTGAAGAAGTGTTCGGCTAAAATCGACTGGGCTTTTCAGAGTCCCCTACAACTTTTTAATGCCCTTCGGTCTTTTCAGGCACACGCCTCAGGCTATGTAAAACTAGTGATTAATCGATTCTTGAAGTTCTGGCAGAGTTTTGTTTGGGTTGCGGGTACACCAGCCATGCGTATTTTATTCATATCGGAAGCCAGTAATTCTGATGTTACATTTTGTGAACTTGGTGGTTAGTTTGCGAAGTCTTCGTTGTCAGAGTTCACTTCAAGGCTAAATGCCATTGATAATTATGCTATTCTGATAACGCTAGCTCTCTATTCTTTTGATAGGTGTTCTTTATCATTATTTATTGGAAGCAAAAATTCCTAGGAAGTTTATCAACATTTCTAAAGTAACCTACAAAAACATCTTAGGTTTTGTGAGAGCATAAAAGCACCTATCGGTACTGTTCTCAACCAAAAATGTCTCCATTTCTCTTCAAATTTACGATCGGAGACATAATAGAAACAACTGGGGGAGATGTCCTTGACAGTGTAGTGTATCATTGATGAGTGCATCTGGACTAGTATATATATATATATATATATATATATATATATATATATATATATATATATATATAGAATCCCTTGGGAAATGCTTAGAATTCGTCGCACATTAAGGATCAATATGAGTAGTTGAGAACCACTCACATCAACCAGCAGTGATTACTAACGAGACCAAAGTAAATTATGCTCTTAACAGCCGTGTCTCTATTTTGGGGTGAGTGCTTTCAATCAGTTAAGCTCACTGATCTGGGTGAATCCTGGTACTCTATTTAGTATTATACATCCTTTTGGTAGCCGTTTGTGGTCTCCAGAGGATAACACTGTGACCTGAATATTTTTTATCTCTAGTGGGAACTTCTGTGAATTCTTAACACGAACCGCGTAATTGCTAATGATAAACTTTATTCATACATTTGGTTCCCTTGATAAATTTCGATAAAGAAAGGAAGACGAAATTCGCAGTATAAAATGATATCATTCTATTTCAGAGGTTCTCATCAGCTGCAGACCACTTGGAATTACAGTGGTTTTATAGATGATAATAACATACTTTAATGTTTGAGTGGTGGTAGAGAAGAGATACTATAAAACTGACGCATCTAAATGAAAGCATTACAGTTTTTTTAGTTTAAGTTTTTATCATCAGTTTATACGCTTTTAAAGTTGAAAAGAGCGTGAAGGGGTAAGACAGAAAACAGAAAAATTGATTAACAGAACAGTGTTGGCTTGTAGGTTCACATACCAACTCAAGAGACAAAAGCGGTTACAGTTTATGAGATTAAGATTTGTTCACTGAGTTGAGATCACTGAATTAGTCGACTAATCAAAATCAAAATTCTGCTGCCGAGGTAGTGAGAGGTTAATCACACTCTCTTTCTGTATGCATAAGTCTGGTTGGTTTGAGTTGGTTGATTGTGATTGCTTCGGCAAATTGTAGTAAATTTGCTGTCCTTTTTCTGTTTAATATTTTGAAGGACTTGGAAATCTCTATGAGATGTCCGGTATCAACAATGTGTCTGGTATAATAGAAAAGATTTGTAACTCAGGTGGATGATTTGCAATTGATAGTGTTCTCTGAGCTCCTTGGTTTAATTGCGGAGCTTACATCGTCTTTCTGGACGACATCTTCAGCGCAGTATTTAGGAAATTTAAATCATTTCACTTTATCCTAAATACTGCGCTGAAGATGTCGTCCAGAAAGACGATGAAAGCTCCGCAATTAAACCAAGGAGCTCAGAGAACACTATCAATTGCAAATGTGTCTGGTAATTGAACTCTGAGAATATCTGCTTCCTTTCAGGCACAGGTTTTTGGGAATATGTTCAGAAAACCGGATAGAAGCTCTTCTTTCTGTCCTTCCAATGTACTTGCTCCCGCAAGTGCACGGGAATTCATAAACTCTGTTGGAGGTGACATCAGCAGGGTATTTATCCAGTTTTGAGTGGATTAAAGGAGTGGTGCTGCATACTGTTATGAACTTTGCTGCCGGGAAGCTTTTATTTATTGCACTTTTCAATCTTTTGTGACACTGCATCTCCTTTGTATGGTAGGCAAATAAAAACTTTTCTACAGTTGTATGCTTTTCTTTCTCATCTTTTTCTCTGCTATACTTCTGTATAAATCCCTTGGGGTATCCGTTTTCCCTTAGGCATTTCTCCACGAAATCTAATTCTTCTTCGAACCTGTTTGGTGGACATAGCTTCCTGGCTCTGTCGTACAAAGTCCTCACTAATCCACGTTTATAGCTTATGGGACAAAAGCTGTTATAGTGAAAATATTGTCCAGTCCAGGTTTCTTTTCTATAGATGGACTTTTCGACCATGCCGTCGTTTGTCCTTTTTACATTTAGATCCAGGAAATTGAACTCATTATTATGTTCGTATTCCATGGTGAATTTGATATTTGGATGTATCTCATTTAGGCGATCATATAATGCCGATGCGTGATCCATATCGTCATCAACATATCGGCGATTGTAGGTCATTCCATTGATAGCAGAACTTATTTGTGTCTGCTTTATTCTATCTCCTGGAAAATTAACTGTAGTGATGTAGTAATTCATACTGAATGCATCCGGTTTTATTGATAATACTGAGATTCAGGGTTACTGAAATGTGTGCAAAATATGTTTTAAAAGCATCCGTGTATTTTTGTAACTCCATGCTCGAACTTTCACATAAAGTATCTACATTCCGGCAAAATAATATGACCAACTTACGTAGAACATGATTCAATGTATTGTATCAGGTCCAGCGATCAGAAACATGTTCACAGTGTTGAATTTATGGCTTGTAAAGCCTCATAATTATACATTCCGTTGATGTAATTTAGGGAAGAGGGTGATGTTTATATATTCTAAGTTATTAGTTCAGTAGTAAGTTCCTTTTCCTGAAGATAATCATCAGTAGGACGAAATGAAATTCCAGTTCTTACATCGATGTGTTAATGCCTAGAACGCCTTGACAGAACACGTGCTGCGGGTTTCTTAGATGAGTGAATTCAGAAATGAAACGCAGATAATTACCTCAAAGGTGATTACATACACCAGCATATCTTTGTGCGTCGGTGGCACAGTGGTTAGTACTCTCGCCGACCATGCACATGGTCAGAGGTTCGAGCCCACGCCGACGCACACCTGATATCTATGGTCGGCCTGCGAATTTCGGGCTACCGATATCCATGCTGAAAATTCCATACTTGTACCAAAAATACAGTGTGGAATCAAGCTGTAGTCAAAAATAAAATAAAAAACTGTGACTATACTAAACTACACAAAAAAAAATCGAAATTTACAAAAAGTCACAAACGTATGTTTACTCTCCACGTAATAAAGTAGTGAGAAGACTAATGAAAATCAAAACAAGTGATTCAGCGAAGAGACTCTTTTCAACGAATTCATCATCAAGCTGTACAGTCGTATATATATGGTTTTTTTTTAATAAGTTATATCCGGTGAGGGAATTGAATCTTAGGGGTGAATGCATAAAATAATAATAATAGTAATCATATAAAGTTCAATTAAAACTAAAATGTTTGTGATTATAATCGTAGTTAAATGTCAAGTGGCGAAGCAAATTAATGTCATACATAGAATAATTCATAGGATGGATAGAACTTGAAAAAGGATGTGCAATTATAGGATTAGTAGACAAATCGAATAAAACAAAAACGTTACGCAATACTGTGTGAAATTTAATAGCATAGAATTTATCGTTGTAAAGAAGAATTGATTTAGAATGGCAAGTGGAACAAGTGAAATAATACCGGGGACAGTTCAAAGTGAAAATAGTAATAGTAACAATTGACTTAATAAGGAAGAGTATACAAATTGAACAGACAAAATGAAAAATTGGTAGAGCTAAAATATGATCGGGGATTACCATATTTTAACATAGAGGGATTAAGACCATGAAAGTTGGAGGGGTTGAACGAACTTTTTCTGTACAAAGAGATCTGTCTTTTCTGTTTCGATAGCCAAAGCTTCAACAATACAGATGAGTCGGGTACGTAGGGATTTGGGTAGATTGCTGTTTGCCTTTTGGTGCAAAGAGGTTCTTCATA